AACATCTGAAACCGTGAATGTTCTTTGTGTATATTGGTCCTGACCTGGCATCTCAACTTTAGCCCCTTTTCCAACCGGCGTAACGTTGCTTCCCTGTGCCTTTTCTATAGATATTTCATGGTAATTGTTCTGATAGACGTTCCTCTATGGCACTTAGACTTTATGAATTTGAGCGCAGTAGTAGTTGGGTGGCAAGGTCTCACAATTTTACATTTGAAATGGCTGGGCGTAACTGTTATTTCTATGCTAATTCTTACTTATGGAACTCACGTCCGGATTCTTCTTTCCCAGTTAACTTTGATCTTCAAAAATTTAAATGCAATGTCAATCGTTATCTCCTGTATTCTTGATTCCTGTTCTGTTATTGTTTTATCTATTGTTTTTTTTTCTTTAAAATATTCTCTCACACTCAGTAACCTATTGCTTCTTATTGGCATTGTTGGCGTGCTTGTGGTGAAATATTTAAAAACATATCGATCCGTGTTCTTCGAGGCTTTAACAAGGTTGATGACGCTTGAGTGGCCACTGTCGTAGTATTTGTTTTCTTTCCCAATGTTTGTCTCTAGACGAGAAATTTTCATTGATATTTCATCCTTCAAATCACTTTGTGTCGATAGAAAAATAGGCAATGACAAAAATCTTTTGTCTACTTCATTTGTTATGGCGTCCTTTATATGTTTGAAGTATTGGTGGGATTTTTCTCACGTGTATCAGTCAGTTCGTCTTGAATGCGAATTTTGTAAAAATTCAGAATAACAATCCTGCCCAACCGCGCATACAAGATGGAAGATTAATGTGAGATGGGTCGAAATACGTTGATTATTTTAATCTTGACAGCAAACACATTTCTGAATAAATACTCAGAATTATACTGCTACTGACGAAGGGTTTGGTATGTGCTTTTTTCTTTTAAGTTTATTTTTTTTTAAATGGATCCCGGATTTCACGAAAACTCCGTAAGTCATTATATGCACTCCAGGCATCACTTATAATTGTTTTTGTGTATTCTTTTTCGTATCATTTCTACTTGAGGTATTATTTTCTGTCTTCGATAAATCCAACGATATAATGAAATGATTGAATAAATTTAAAATAGATGATCGCTTAGAATACGATGTTATGGCGTCCATTAAACCTCTGTAAGTGTCTATTTTGCAACGTCTTACGGTCATGTGATGTGGTGAAAAATTACGTTTTAGATTTGCCAAAATCGACCGTTTTTCTTGAATAGCTGAATAGTGAGTTGGTCGCAGTACTGCTTTGTAGGAATTGTTTCCTCAGTTGGGAGAAACTCAAAATAAATCATTATATGCACTCCTGCCGTCACTTATAATCGCATTACCTAAATGCATTCTTTTTCGTATCAGTTCTAATTGAGGCATTATTTTTGTCTTCAATAAACTCAACAAAATAATGAAATGACTGCATAAATTTGAATTCCTCCTAAAACCACTATTGACTCATATCTTTTCCTCTGTTATATTTCTCAAACACAGACTTGGTAACATCGATCGTTTTCATTTATATGGGCAACACATTCACAAAGTAAATAACGAGTAATTAATTGATTATTGAATCCAAATTCATCTTCGCTTCAAGGACGTGTGCAAAAGTGATATGATGGCGATGGACATGGACATCGCGATCTAAGATCGCCAACGATTGCTCACGTTGGATACGCGATTTTCACCGAGGGCTGGAGCGAGGAAAGACGAAACGCGGGTTTGGCGCCGGGGAGAATCACGCTAGAACGAACGAAAAGAACACGTTGCCATTGAGATTATCACTACCATCTGGGCCTGTACAGCCATAACAGCAGATGAGGCATAACTCTTTGGGCGCAGATCCTAGGTCTCTGGAGACCGACGGATGCCACACACACACACACACACACACACACACACAAATGATTATTATATAAAATTTTATTAGACCTTTGCCACTTTTTACCCAGTTCCTTAAATTTTCCTTTTTACGAATTGTCTCATGTTCATTCTCTCTCGGTATGATGCCTATACAGGAAAGTCGTTGTTCTGCATTCTAACCGCGATTTTTTGTTGCACCTTCTTCAAACAGTGAATAGTCTATTAACTCGAGACCATGTGGAAATGGTGATAGAAGCAATAAGTATTACTGAAATGACTGGCGAGATATTTCACAGATATGACGTCACAGACGAGCGGGTGATATTTCCTCACGAAATTCTCCATTAAAAATATTCCTTTCTGGGGACAAAAAATCCCAAGTATCTACTGAATCTCTTTTTGTTTTTGTTTATTTTTACTCGCTTCCACTTGTAACACATTAAATATATAGGGTCATTAAATATAAGGGGGTGATAAAACACACCTCATTCAGTAAGCTTCTATCTTGAGGGGGTGCTCATAGGCTATGTCTTACGTGAACTTTACTAAAAAACAAAATTATTTTAAGACTATTGATTTTAGCTTGAAAATTTTATCCAAAACGCATTCAATGTCTTCCATAAAAAATAACTTAATCATCACATAATTTTTATTTTTTCATCTGTGTGTATTTATGTGTTTTTATGCAATATTTTATTGATGTGATGAATTTGTTTTAAACAATTAATGAAACAATCGTGAAGAATATTTTATTATGTTCAATTAAAAGTTTGAGTCAAACTTATTTAATTTACTAGAGTTTAATCAACGTATCAAAATTGATTTCTGTAAATTGATTGATTCTAAGTCTCTTGAGTGTTTCTGTTAAACACGTATAACTTCCGTCTAAATTTCTGTGACGCTGTCTTTATTTACACACAGATTATTGCCATTATCTTTGCTGTTATCACAACGTTTCAGCTATCCGGTTTTCATCGGGATTTGCCGACCCGGTTAATCTTCAGGGAATTTAGAACTGAACCATTTATTTAATCTATAGAGATTATTCTCATTCATGTCGTCAAGTTAAGTAACACTTTATTAGCTAGGCGTTTTTATTTTTTATTATTTTATAAGCAAATCACCCCAAACAAGGCGAGAGTGCCACTAGCACGCAAGGGGTTACAGAGAGTGAGAGTAAGAATAAAGAGGAGAAAAGGATAAAAAGAAGGACAGAGATCAAGGTCAAGGCATCAGAAGATGTCGATCGACATTACATTTGAATATTTGAAGATTATAGCTATCAGGGAAGCAAGTGATAGGAAGTGACTTCCACTGACGGGAGGTGCGAGATAAAAATGCTGTTGGAGTAGAAGAAATTGCTACATTTAGCCGTTTCGACAGTGAAAGGGGAGGACCTAGATGACAACCTAGTATCACGCTTAAATTCATGCAGTGTGAGAACCAGTGAAAGTAGCTCGTCGGAGCAGTTGCCATGAAAGTACTTTTAAATCTCACCCAATACGTGGCTCGACATCCATTCAAATAAGAGGGTTATAGTAAATATAACAATGCTGGATGTGGTGTGTGATATTATTAGAAAGGAAGGTGTTAGGAAATACAGATTATGAGGCTAAGGAAGAAAGATGATTATTGTCACTGAATTTTAGGAGGTCAAGATTGAAGTGATTGGGGAAGCACCCACGCTGGCAGTTCTTTGGGAAAATAAAGTTGCCTCTCTCGAACACTGCTTTCTTTTTGAACGAAGAGGAGATGAGGGTGATTCGAGACTATGGAAATTGCATGATCTTTCCCAGCTGAAAGTTCACCCTAAATATACACAGATAATTACTGCTTTGTTCGATCTCATTGCTGTACATTTGTATTAACACAGACTGCTGCTCACAGAAAAGTTAGCATTTAACTAAACGCGCACTCGATCGGAATGTAATACACGGTCGAGGTTAATCTGGTTGGTATCACACGCCTACGTCGATTGAGGACAAAAATTGATCAAGCCTCCTAGTCACTTCCATTTCCAGGGTTACCTCAAGCGCCAGGTAATATCTTTTAACATAAAAAGCCAATAAATGAGGCCCCAGGTCGTATGCATATAATAATTGTCACCTCCACCGACCTACCTAGAAATTATCTATTTCCTTAGCCAAAAAGTTTCAGAAGAGAAATTATCTCCATTGATTAAATGTTGTCTGTTTAATAACAACAGATTTAATATTTCAATTTAGCATATAAAAATCTCGTTCTCTTATAACAATTCTAGAACTTACTAATTTGCCAAATCCACTTCTACCTGCTTTTTTAATGTGTAACAAATATACAGTACTTAAAGGTAAACAAACACTTTTTTCGTTGAAATTGTTTTATCCTAACATAGCCTCGCCAGTTTCAAGAGGTCGTTAGAGGGCGCCTATAAAAATGAGACACTTCCTGTCGTAATTCTCTTTGTTTTTTCTCTCAACATGCTGAATTGATAACGTCAGTATAACCTTGCTCATAGGCGTAGTGATATAATTCTCTTAGTGACTGAACTTATACACATCACATCATCAGTGTATCAACCAAATAAAAATTGTTAATTTGTAGTGTCTTTCTTCATTTGCATGCATACTTGTGTATTTTTTTCACCTTTTACTCCGTTATATAAAAGTCAAATGATAAAATATCGGCCTGTTGAAATTAACTCGTTTCCTTACACTTGTTTACTTGTGGAAAATATTGTTGCCACTGCTTTTAGCCAAACTAGAAGCCGTACGGCAACAAACATTCCACAATACGTCGGTCAACTTCTAATTTATTTAAGTTCATTTAATCACAATACTGGACAAACTTCTCAAGAAAGTGCGATTTTTCCAGAGCCGGATTGAACCAAGACAAAAACATTAAATAAGCTATGAGAAATTCTTTTTGTGGGAGAGGTGAACATATTTTCATGCTATATCCGACCTGAAGTTAATATTTTGCAGCCGACTATGCACATCTAAAATGAAAGCTTTTAAAGTTATTTAAAGCTAATGATCTTTATGATGATAACTGAGCTTTTGCGTCACAGAGTCATGTTCATCTCTCCTGAAATGCCTGTTGTCTGATCACTAATATCTACAAAGAATTCTGGACTCTGAACAAAGCGAACGTTTGTCAATATTTGAACGAATGTGATGCCTGTGCTAAACTTTCATTAGAGGGCATAATGTTCAAATGAAATATACGTAACAAGATAGATAGATCAATATATTTAGTTTTGCAAAGCTATTTGAAAAGATTTCAAACAAAAGGTTTTATATTAAGCATTAAAAATAAGAAGCTAGGTCAAGTCTCTTTGTACTGATCTTCAATAGCTTACTAAAGAAACTTCCCCAAAATAAAAAAAGAACTCTCATTTTTGAAACTCAGTCGACGTTATCTGACAGTGAAATGAAAACTTGTTTAATGTTCCGTTATCTACGGAATATATACATGAGTTTGGAGAAAGAAACTTCGACGAGTACTCGAGTCTTTTATCACTTCCAGAAACATCTTCCTGTATGGAACAATAAATAAAGAAGAAAGCTCTAAGAAAAAATGGCTGTGATAAATCCGTCGCTTAAAAATAGTGTCGGAAACTGATTGAATGTTTAGAATATTGAAGATTTTAGTTTGTAGCAAATCATTTCCATCAAACAAAGCATGTTATCGATCAATCCTTCGATCGACATTAATCCATTATCATTTTGAAACAATTTAATCAGTCAAAAAGAGTCATTCTTAAACTTCCCTTCGCAAAAGTTATTTATGCTGAAATTTATTTTCATCTTTCTTTCTGGCTTGCTTGATTTAATTACTGTGCCTTCGTAGTTTCCACTCCCTCGATTCATTTAATTATATTTATCTTTATATATATATATATATATATATATATATATATATTGTATACATATAAGCTAAATGAATATATATTTATACACATGTACACATCTGCCAAAATTGTAAGAGAATCAGATAGATAGATAGATAGATAGATAGATAGATAGATAGATAGATAGATCCAGTTGTCGAGGGAGAGAAAGAAAGAGAGGAGGAAATAGATTGAGCGAGAAAAGGAGATAAAAAATAATATGAACCGAGTAATCAACAATTTATGTATTGAGGTTCCTGTTTAGAAATTGACAGGCAATGTTGATTTCTCTCTGCCCATAGTTTATATCTGTACACGCTATATCGACGATAGTGATCATCCTCCATCGGTGAATGAAACAAATATTAAACATCGTGTATATATATATATATATATATATATATATATATATATATATATATATATATATATATTATATATATACAGGGTGTCTCAAAATAATGTACACACTCTTAGAATCGTTATAACGTATTCAATTTATGTATTTTGACTATAAGATTAATACAAGAGAAAAAATACACATTTAAAGAATTTGAGAAAAAAAGTAAAAAAACATAAAAAAATACCCCTTAATAAGATAAAAGCTATTTGGGTCAATGGCAGAATGTTCATATAATAATGAGTTCGCATCAAGTGCTCAAACTGATTGCCGTTCTGTTCAATACATTTTTCATATCTTGAAGAAATAAACATACAAACGTCTAGTATCATTTCCTCTGATATTTGAGCACATTCTTCTCTTTTAAAACCCCTACAAAAAGAAATCGAAGGGTGTCAAATCTGGTGATCTAGGAGGGTATTCAACTGTCCCTCTTTTTCCAATCCATCTGTTTTGCAGATTTTCATCCATATAAGTTCTCACATCAGGCTAATGTATTATTAACTATTAATATTTAAAGAGTGTATACATTACTTTGAGACACCCTGTAGATAGATAGATAGATAGATAGATAGATAGATAGATAGATAGATAGAAACTTGATTCACCAATGCAAAAAAAAAAAATCGATTTGCAACACTACAAGTTATTTTCAAAGCGGCTAGTTTTGCAATTTCATAAAGAACAGTCGGATGCAGGCTAATGCAAAAGGTATTGTTTCCAAATGCATTAAAAAAGAAATCATTCGTACCTGGAAAAAATCGACGGGTCGGGTACGGTTGGCTTGGTGCAAAGCTCATTTACACTGGACTAAATCTGATTGGGAAGATGTTATGTGGTGTGACGAGAGCCCCTTTACTCTTAAATATGAAGCACGAATACTTGTTTGGTGTACGCTTGGTGAAACGAATACTTCAGTGATTACCAAGGGCACTGTTAAACACGATAAAAAAATAACGTTTCAGTGCATTCTCAGCAGTAGAAGCTGGCAATTTGTGAAAAATCAAGGGAATCATGGACCAGTATAAATACCACAACATCCTTGTTAATCAAATGTGGCTTTCTGGTAAAAATCTTTTTTCCCAAGGTCTACACTTCACGTTCCAACACGATAACGATCCTAAACATACCGTCTTAATGAATAAACGTTATCTAGAAAGGAACCCCTACAAAGATAGATTGCAATTCTTCCAGTGGCCTAGCCAGAGTCCTGATCTTAACCCGCGTGAAAACGTTTGGGCGATAATGGACAAGCGTTCCCTTTATAGGAAAGTAAACACAGAAGATGAGCTTTTTCACGAAATAAGGAATGTTGGAGAAATCTGGCGAAGAACGTTGACTTACTAAAGAATTTAGTTTATAACCCGCCCGAAGAATTAAGGTGTTTATTAAAGCAAAAGGTTACCAATAAAATACTAAATCATTTTTTGATTTGTATAATGTACATATGTACACCTGTATTAATACCCTGCATTAATAAACGAATTCTATTACTTACTTGTCTTGGTAAAAATACAAATATCGACTCTCGATTGGTGTGTCCAATTTTTTGCCTTGTACTCTATATATATATATATATATATATATATATATTAACATCTGAGCTTTCACTGTACCTCATACTAACTTCGAGCGTGTTGCCCTGGATAGAAATAACTGGAGATATTTGTGTTAAAGTTGTATTAGAAATTTCGAAATACGGAACCGTCATATAGCCTGACGTGCCTTAACCGATTGGGCCACTAAGGAGCGTTCGGTTAGCAAGGTCGATTTTACTGTCTTTAAACTACAATCTTCCAGGATTCTCTCATGTACATTCATATCTGCTCATGGCGTCACACAGTATGAAATGGACAAAATCCGACAATTATTTTAAGACATTTTTATGTTTATATTTAAATATAAATATTTAAGTAAATGATGTATTTATAATAAACAGTATTAAACAACATTTACCGGTCTGAATGTGCGAGACATTTTCAAAGAAAATATTAGTCTTCCGACAAGAATTGAACCTGTATCCTATGCCAATTGGTGAGGTCATTTGTTTACATTTGGATACGCTATGAGCAGATATAAATGTACGTGAGAGAATCATGGAAGATTGTAGTTTAAAGACAGTAAAATCGACCTTGCTAATCATCAAGGTACTTCAGGCTATATGACGGTTCCGTATAGGATACAGGTTCGATTCCTGTCGGAGGACGAATATTTTCTATGAAAATTTCTTCCACATTGAGGCTGGTAAATGCTGTTTAATACGGTTTATTATAAACAGAGAATTTAATTAGGTATTTGTATCTATAAAAAAGGAAGCATAAACATAAAAATGTCTTAAAATAATTGTCAGACTTTGTCCATTTCATAATATAATATATATATATATATATATATATATATATATATATATATATATATATATAATTGAATAATTTAGACAAGTTTTGTCTACTTATTTTCAATAGGATTCTTTCATATTCACAAGCCAGCTTCGTGGTATCCTTATTAAAGGAAGAGTGAAAATTACCAGGTTGATAAATATTCATTTATTCCGAGTACTTTCGACATTAGCACAATATCTTCATCAGGGTGATGTTTTTCTGTTTTCTTTTTTCTAATATAAAATTGTTTTGTTCATATGAAAATTAACTTTATCAACATGGTAATTTTCTCTCTTCATTTAATAAAACTTGTCTAAATTATTCAATGAGTCATGTTTTAATGAAAAAAATGCTCCCAAAATATACGGATTATATATATATATATATATATATATATATATATATATATGTGTGTGTGTGTGTGTGTGTGTGTGTGTGTGTGTGTGTGTGTGTGTGTGTGCGTGCGTGCGCGTAATGAATATACAATACTAGCGTTGCCCGGGGATGTAACAGTAAGAGATAGATCAAGTATGGACGATCATAAAGACTGAAAAATAAAATTGACAAAGATTATTGTTTAAGGTTGCCGGAAACGCATGTCTTAATTAGTTTTTTTTTTTTACGAATTGGTCAAACCCAAATTCAAACAAAAACATTGTTTACAATCGTTATGAGTCTATCGATTGGTGAATAGAATTTTATTATAAACAATTGTCTTGTAAATTGAATTTTTAAAGCATTCTGAATGTAAAAATAAAAGAAAAAAAAAAGACAATAAGAAACACTACCTGCCAAAAAAAAAAGTGAAGTTTTGTTGAAATCGGTTGAAAAATGTAGATAGCCTTTCTCTGTAATCTTTCACAATTTATGATTTTTACTTATTGAATACAGTAAAAATTGCATATTTTGCTTGTGGTGATTCATAATTAGAATTCTGATTTGAATATATTTTCCACTCGTTGTTTCTAATACAAAAAATATTAACTTTATTTGGGTTTATTAATTTATTACAAGTACTGTGTTCTTTCCTTAATAATTATCATCTTCGAAATATTGTTGTTTTTTGTCTATCAGATTTCTTACGTCGGCATTTTTAAATTATTTCTTAATACTTTCTTTTAAATATTGAATTAATTTCAAATAGAACCAATGCCTTATTGATCTGCCTTGTAACAAATTGCAAAGGGAATTGAAAAAACGGCCCTAAAGTACGTGGAATTATCTTTCCGTATTTTATCAAATCGAAAAAAATGATTGATTATCTGTCCTTTTTTTTTACCAAAAAAAAACAATATTTTTAACGAAAATTTCAGACGTGCTAAGAACGATTAAAAATGTAAAAAAAAAATACCCCAAAAATACTTTGATCTTTCCTCTTTAATAATAATATGAACATTAGACGATAAAATTTTGTTTTCGTCAAGTTCGGCTTTTTTTTCTTCATGCTATGCTCATTTGTTTATATTTTCGTGGGTGAGTTGTCCCCCTTTCATTCTCACGATGTGTCTTAATCGTGTTTTCAAATTGATTTTCTTAAAGAACAATTATGTTTTTCCCATTTTCGGCGCCGTTAGAAGAACCACAAGGTAATTTTATGTAGTCCTGTGAAGTTTTGTTGAAATCGGCTAAAAAATGTAGGAAATTCGATCAAATATATAAACGTTACAGACACACACACACACACACAATCTGCGTTTTATAATAAGTAAGATTCCACATTAAGTGCTGGTACTAATAAAATTGTGCTCGATAAATAACAAACCTATAATTTCAATTTCAACTGCACTCTGCATGTAACTCAGATTTTTCATATATATATATATAAAATATATTGGTTTTGAACAAATTATTTTTTTAAATTTTTTTTACAAAATACTTTACAAATTTTACTGTCAAAAGTGGCATGAACTATATTGTTCAATAATTACAGTAATGTCGCAAATATTAACCAAAAGTCGCACATGGATCTGTTATTTAAATTACAATAAACGTTTAATCAATTTACAAATACATGATTTATTCACGCAAAACTAATGCAAAGGTTAATGATTTAAATGACGAGACATAACATAAAATATAGTTCATGCCACTTTGACAGTAAAATTTACCAGTAAAATAATTTGTTCATTACTATATTTGGTATAAACGCAAACACTTTAAAAAAAGAAATTTAAAATCAAACTCAGCGTTGCTTTGGCGCGTTCAAAAAAAATCAATATCTCATTTTCAATAGCATTTCGGAATACACAATACATATATTTTCGATGTCCTCTTATTACTAAGAGAAAAACAAGAACAACATCTATTATATACCTGAAGATGTCTGTAGGAACAGACGAAAGCTTGTAGTAAAAAACGTAACAACTAATACGGCAGAAATTTATATAAACAAGGATCAATTCATTCATAACGGATCTGGAGGTTTTTGTGTACTATTTGAATTGTTTGCGAGATGGATGTCTCGCCATTTAAATCATTAACCTTTGCATTAGTTTTGTGTGAATAATTCATGTATTTGTAAATTGATTGCACGTTTATTGTAATATATATATATATATATATATATATATATATATATATATATATATATATATATATAAATATACATATGACCGTTTGGTAGAACACTGAGTTTCCTGCATGTTGCAGTCATCAGATACTAAAGTAGTAAATTACCTAAATACTGGTGCGTGTATAAAACTCTGAGTTGTATCAAACGATGAAGAAAAATATATATTTATTAATAATACTATAAATCTTATCTATACTATATATATATATGCGAATGAAGAAATATAGTCTTAAGATGAGGTATATTTATGGGATAAAGTGCTCAATAACTGAGATAGAGTGTGTGTAAATATAAAAGTGAATATAGAAGTCAACACTTAGAGGCGACAGTCTGTTTCATGTTAGATCCAATCGTCAAGCCACGTTCACGATTGCGTCTAGCATGAAACAGACTGTCGCCTGAACGTGTTGACTTCTATGTTAGTATATATATATATATATATATATATATATATATGATTGTAGTATGTTCGTGTCTATGTCGGGGGGTTAATCTACTTTAAAAGGACATGCACAAGTATAGAATATATAATATAAAAAGCAGAAGAAAGAGTAAAAGTTATGAAAGTGAGAAAAATACTGTGAAGTGGCTCTAAAAATAAGAAAGAAAGACGTGACAAATTCTTGAAACAAATAATAACGGTTACACTTTCATACTTGTGGCGCCGGTTGTTGACTGCCATCATAAACATTGACATTGCAATCAATCAGACACTTTCATTTTGCCTTTATTTCTCACCAAACATTTCATTTTGTTATCTTTCAATCCTGTTTTACGGTTTGGTTCCTATTGTTGACAAATGAAACAAGATATTCATAAATAGTACAACTGATGTTTTTTGCAAGTC